ACTCCCATTCTAATGCATTCCCCAAGGACAGCCACTGGGGTGAGCTCACAGCGGCTACCTTTCAGCTTGCCAAGTAGCTCAGGAGTCAACTGATACCACCCAGGCCATGTTGTGATGGGCCCTCTGCTCTCACAGTCACTGACCCTGTGGAGAGAGGCAGGGCTGGCTGCCATGTCCACCCCAGGCTCAGCCCTCAGTGCTGGCAAGATCCAGTGCCCACACTCTGCATGGGGTGGGAAAATAAGTAGAGGTCTGTTCTCATCTCAGAACCCACTCAGTTCCTTACCCTTGGAGGTTATTTTATTTCCCTTTCCTTTCCTTTCTTTTCCTTTCCTTTCCTTCCCCCACCTCTCTCTCTCTTTGAGGAGGGTTAAAGACAGGGTGTTTTTGTGTAGCCTTGGCTGCCCTGGAACTCACTCTGTAGATCAGGCTGGCCTCGAACTCATGGAGATCTGCCTGCCTCTGCCTCCTGAGTGCTAGTCTTAAAAGCATGCACCACTAACTCTCCAACTAAGGTTGTGAAAGTAATGCTTTCTTTGATTTTTTTTTTTTTTTTTTTTTTTTTGGTAAAACAAATTATTTATTTATTTATTTTTTATTTTGCACACTGGCCTCAGTTCCCCTCCCTCCCCTTCTCCCACCCCCACCTTCTCCTATTCCACCCCCATCCCTCTGAGGGAGTAAGGCCTTCCTTGGGGAGTCAACAAAGTCTGGCATACCAAGTTGAGGCAGAACCAAATCCCCCCACCCCCCATCAAGGCTGAGCAAGGTATCTCACCATAGAGAACGGGCTCCAAAAAGCCAGTTCATGCACCAAGGATAAGTGCTTGTCCCACTGCCAGCTTCCCCCAATAGATTGATTAAGCCACATAACTATCACCCACATTCAGAGGGCCCAGTTCGATTCCATGCAAGTTCCCCAGCTGTCAGTCCAGAGTCTGTGAGCTCCCACTAGCTTGGGTCAGCTGTCTCTGTCGTTTTCCCAATCATGATGTTGACCCCCACCCCAGCTCAGATGATCCCTCCTCTCCCTCTTCAACTGAACTCTAAGAGCTCAGCCCAGTGCTTGGCTGTGGGTCACTGCATCTGCTTCCATCAGTTACTGGGTAGGTTCTATGATGACAATTAGGGTAGTCACTAATCTGATTATAGGGGAAGACCAGTTCAGATACCCTCTCTACCAATGCTAGGAATCTTAGCAGGGGTCATCCTTATGGATTCTTGAGAATTTCCCTGGTTTCTCCCTAACCTCATAATGGCTCCCTCTATCAAGATGTCTCTTTCATTGCTCCCCTTCTCCATCACTCCCCGAACTCGGTCACCTCAAGCCCTCATGTTCTCATCCCCCACCACTCCCTTATACCCCGTCTCTCAGTTACCCAGGAGATCTCAACCATTTTCTCTTCCTGGGCCCTCCATGTGTATTCCTCTTAGGGTCCTCCTTTTTACCTAGTTTCTCTAGGGTTGTGGATTGTAGCCTGGTTATCCTTTGCTTTATGTCTAATGTGCACTTATGAATGAGTACATACCGTGTTTGTCTTTCTGGCTCTGGGTTACCTCACTCAGGACAGTTTTTTCTAGTTCTGTCCATTTGCCCAAGTAGTACTTTTAAATAAGAAATCTAGATTCTCCACTACACGGAGCAAAACCTCAATTATGTTCAAGTTTCATGACATGCTAGGGAAGAAGTAAAAATGCAAAACATTTTCCAACCACCCTGGAAAACAATTTGTTAGTCTCTTAATAATAAAAAAAACACCCACTCTTCTACCTAGCAAGCTGCACTTAGGCCTTTCCCTTCAAAGAAGTGAAAAAATGTATTCCAACAAAAGCCTGAACATGAATGCCACAGCAGCTCTATTTGAAATTGCTGAGAACTGGAAACTTTCAATAGAGGTGGGTTAGATTATGGAAAATCCTCATCATGGAATATTACTTAGCAATAAATAGGAACAAACTGTGAATCCAGATAACTCATGTGGACATCAAGGACTGAGTGTCGGTCCTATACTGTTCAATTACATTTATTTATAGAACTTTCTTGAACTAAAAAATGATCTGTGGAAGTACTTACTTCTAACAGACTGTTTGGAATAGAGAGAAGGAACATGGGATGGGTTGGGGACCCTAGAGAGCAGTAAAAGGGTTTTTTGTTTGTTTGTTTGTTTTGTGGTGTGATGAGACAGTCCTGAACCTTGGTTGCTCTCAGACAAATCTACAGGGGTAAACTGGAAATCTGTCTTGCCAACCTCAGTTTCCCACCTTAAAAACAACTCTAGTTAGGAAAGACATGGCCACTGGGGGATTGCAGGGAATGCAAGTTCCTACAGAACCACCATTATCACAGAATTAAAAGTTTAAAATGTGAATTTTAATGCTGAAGATTGGTAAATAAAGCATTGTAGGCAAAGGTCACTACAGTAAGCTCCTGGGAGCCTGAGCTACCCTAGCTGGCCTGTCATCTTCAAGAGCCACAAAGAGCCAGAGGCTGTACCTCCACGATAGCCAGAGTGTGGCTTATCGCCAGCAAGGAAGACCCAGCTTGTCTGATTTGATCTGACAATGAATCTGTCTACTGGCTCCATGTGGTGCTCCACAACAGCAGCTGGTGGTTGGGGGACCATTGTGCGATGTCACCCCAAGCTACCCCACTGTGGAATCGCTAGTTCTTGGGTACTGCTTTCTGTGCTCTGCAATGGTGTGCTGGCCTCGCTGCTTTCTAATCCATTCTATAGACCTTTGTCTCAGACCAGAAGACTAAGGAAGGATCAGGAGTACCTGGAGGCATGGTGTTTGCACACTGCTCCAGTGGATAGCAGAGGAGGATACATCAGACTGCCCAAGCCAAAGAAAGGTCTAAGCCAAACTGGTTCAGCACACATACACGTCTTCCCAGCTTCTTCTGTTCATGGAATCTAAACTTGATCCTTTCTCCCACCTCTCCCCCATCTTCTGTCCAGACACACATGATTGTAGAGTCCTTGCCCACAGCAGGTACAAGTAGCATGTGCAAGATGATGCACTCAACACACACACACACACACACACACACACACACACACGCACGCACGCACACACACACGCACGCACGCACACATGCACACCCACGCACACAGGCACGCATGCGCACACACACATACGCACACACAGCAAATGCTCCATTTGTGAGCACATGCATAATACAGGTACCACCATATTTTCTAAGTTTTCAACAAGGAATATGGTTAGGTTGCCTTGCAAATTAAAAATAGAGCTACAGTGAGGAAACTTGGGTACTGTCCATAACAGACTAGTCCTTTCTCTAGTCCTTTCTCTAGATGAAGGCAGAGGGGCTTCCCCAGACTGAAGGAAAAAGGACAACTGGGCATAATGAGGAGTTTTAACCTGGATCCTGGGCCAGAGAAAGGACGTTAGTGGGGAAATGAGTAAATATGACAACAATGCTTCACAGCAGAGTGCTAATGTTAACTTCCTGGCTTGGGGAGACCCTGGGGTTCAGAGTGACACAGACTTCTGTATTGCCACTAAGTCTTTAAGAGAAACCTAAAATTACTTAAAAACAAGTCAAGAAAATCAAATCAAGGACAATGTCCTCTTTTCCTCAAAGTCTCAGGACACCATGATAGTACTCTTCTAGGAATCCCACTGCAGGAGGAGGAGGAAAGGTGGGGACATCTGTTGGCCCCTCTAGTGCCAGTTCCCTACCTGGCGACTTTCCTGACTCAGCCATCCAGCCTTCTGCCAGTGGCAACTCCCAGTGCAGGCTTGGGTCCTCCCTGACCGGGGAAGACCATTTCTTCTTGCTGGTACTGTATTTACATCACACAGAAAACACTCCCAAGCTTCTCTCCAGCCACAGAGACCCCTGGGAGCTATTCACCCTTCCAATAGTGATTTACGTGACTGAAAAGCATATGCTCAATTAAAAGTGGCAGAGACAGCCTCTATCCTGTCATCCATGTGGCTGCTCCAAAGTGAGGGCCACACCCAGGGCCTGGCACACAGCGCTCAGGATGTGATCAGTCTGGCAGGATGCCCACGTTTGTGGGGGATTGGAACAAACCTACCTCTTAGGTGGGGTCTCTGCTAAAGCCACCCACCTTTGAGACTGGGCCAGCTTGGCTTCCCTTCCTTGATTGACAAGAATGGCTGTTTTAACCAATTTGCCTAAAGTTCACTCAGTCAGTCCCAACCTTTTACACAGGCCAAGAGAGTGGAAAAGGTTGGTTACGGGTGCCAGTTTTATGTAAGCTGTCCTACTCCGAGTTTTCCTCCAAGCCCAGAGGCAGCACTGTCAAATTCAGAGCTCAGAAGAAAACTTCACCCACAAACTAGTTATCACAGGAAGCTTTGGAGACGGTGGATGAAAGCAGGAGCAGAGGGAACCAGCCTGTTTTCTTCTGGATGCATTGCTGAGCCCAGTTCTGCTGTGGGGTGCCCCAGAGTCGGGCAGTGACAAGTTCTCTGGGGTAACTTGGGCGTTTCAGGAGATTGTTTTATGGACGGTACTGTCATGAGCTCCCTCCTGTGTGGAGTGCACATAAATCAAAGTTCAAAGTCAGCTGATGTACTTTGAGAAATAATCCTGGGAGAACTTTTTTCAGAAAGCCTTTGAGAGAGAGAGAGAGAGAGAGAGAGAGAGAGAGAGAGAGAGAGAGAGAGAGAGAGAGAGAGAGAGAGAGAGAGAGAGAGAGTTCCCTGGTTCTTTGAACTTTAGGAAAGTACAAACAGCTAGGAGGAAAGAAACCAGGTAATAGAGTATTCTGAGGGGTCTGGGTAGTCTAATAGTTGGCTGCACACCTCCAAAAACGAGCGGCTTGGGGGCGGTTCCTCCTTGGGAAGGAGGAAAGTTCTCTCTAGAAGGACACGGACAGTAGGGAAAGTGGGCTCTGGTAGCTAGCTGTCTTATCCCGGGAAGGGGTGGCTATTGGTCGCACACAGGAGCGATTGCCAGCCCGCTCTGCCCCTCCCTCCCTGCTGGTGGCCACAGCCGCACTCACCAGCTCCGGTAGGATGAAGGCAAAGGGAATGGTGAGAAACACAGCAACGACCCCCGAGGGCACGTCGGACGGGGCATAGCTGGTGGCTGGCGGAGTGTCCCGGGAAGCCATGCTGTCACCTAGGCCGGTACCCTTGCTCCGCGGCACTCCCCGCGCCCGCCCGCAGCTGTTCAAGTATCACCTCCCGCCCCACAGACACACCCATCGGACGAGGGACGTCGCCTGGGAGGGGAAAAGAAAGGTTCCAGAAGAGCAGGTCCTTCTGCACTCCGTGGCCAGCCAGCCCGTGAGAGGGGACTGGACCCGCCTCGTGAAAGCTCTTTTCTAGACTTTCCCTCGTAAGGAGCTGTTGAATCCTGGAGCAAACGACTCCTGGAGGTGTGAGTGACAGCCATGCCCCTGCTGATTTTTACACTCAGAGTGTAAGCAGCATTTTTGTGGTTTTTGTTTTTGCTAAGATAAAATCCATTTATTGAGGACCTACTATGTGCAGCCATCCACAGACACCTCTGGAGCTCAGTCAGTCCACCACGTGACCGGGTAGGAAAGCGGTACAGTCAAGGTCACAGAGTGGTTGCACAGATTGCCTTTTTTGCCATCAAGGCTACCCTGGGATTCTAATTGAGCGACTGAAGCAGCCCGGCTTTTCACCTCCCCTCTTCAGGACTTGGTGTTGCCCCATCTGAATCTCTCTTTGGAGTCCTGCTCTTGCTGTCTTCCTAGTCAGCGAGGACCCAGGGTTGAGGCCAGGCAGTTCCTTCCCAAGTAGAGCCCAGGGCTGGCTGCCTTGCTCTGTTTCCACACACAAAGTTGTTTCTTTCACAGGCAAGCCAGGTCTGGAGACTGGGCTGCTTTCTTCTTTACCTTCCAACCCACTAACCTTCATGTTTCCTCCGCCCCGAGGGAAGGCCTGGCGCCCCAGAGTCTTCTTCCTTCCCTCCTTGGCTCCAGCAGGCCAGCTGGAGAGCCTCCCCAGGCAGAGGAAAGGATGCACGGGAGAGTTGTTCCGAGGACTGGGGTGACAGGATGTATCTTGTTCCTTAGCAACAGCAGGGAATTCCAGGGCCTGTCCTGGGCAAAGTGGCAGGAGTAGTCAGTTAGCTCTGCCTGGTCTGGGCAGAGCCAGGGGGATTGGGTAAATGAAGCTCAAAGCCCAGACCTCCCAAGGAAAAGCAACAGGCTCCTCAGTAGACCTCAAGCAGCCTGTCCTCATCTCTTCCCAAGTCCAGAGCTTACAGGCCACATGCTTAGGCCCCTATACTGCTGACAGGATGGCCCCAGAGCCACCATTTTCTCCTGGAATCTCACCTCTCACCACCTTTTCTGAATATCACAGACAGGCATCATACCACTCTTTGGGGCTACGGGCCCCCTGTGATCTGACCGTAATCTTACATGGGGCAGTAGGAGGCTGCTATTAGGGTAGAGTAAGAAGTTACACACCAGTTCCAGGGATAGAACTAGGGTCATCAGGCAGAGGGACAAGTGCTGAGCCACCCCACTGGCCTAGAAATTATTCCTTCTGAGTCTACTGTGATATTAACTACGCACAGTGTACTTCCTAGAGCAGCTTCTAAACAAATACTCATGGCACAGCCCCAGAGCATCACTGGTGCTTTGGGGGATGCCAGCCTCACTCCAGAGTCACTGAGAGATCTTTTCTCAGGGGAATATGGCAGTACATGATAGAGCCAGCATAAGTGTATGTACACATATGGACATTGTGCACTTGGGTACATGTACCTTGTACACACACACACACACACACACACACACACACACACACACACACAAGTTCTAGCAAAGGAGATTATACCAGTAAAGAGCTTGGGACAGCAGAAATGAAGTGATAGAGACCTGGAAGCCTGGATGGTAAATATCTGGGTAAAGTATGGTTGAACCCAAAAGCTGTAATATTGTTGTTGGTGATATTTTTTAACTTCTATGTATCTAATACAATGACCATCACACAGGACAAATGAGAAAGGGACCATATGATAATAAGGTTTCTTTATTCTATCTGAAGTGGGAAATATTTTTATTTATTTATCTTTCTCTCATACAATACATCCCAACCTCAGCCTCCTCTCCCTCCACTCCTTCCAGCCCCCCTCTCCCCTAGATCCACTGCTCCCCCCATATCCCTTCAGAAAAGAGCAGGTCTCCCAGGGATATCAACTGTACAGGCCTGTGCAGGCTCTGTGATTGATGCTTCAGACTCTGAGTCCCTATGAGCCCTGCTTAGTTGATTCTGTAACATTTTTGTGTGTTTTCATTTCACATACTGTTGCTGTGTGTGTGTGTGTGTGTGTGTGTTTGATGCTGTCTGTTGAGATGGTTTGTCTTCCTCTAGCCACAGGTGGATTTGCTGTTCCTTCTTGGTTATAATAGCTGCTTTGATGCTTCAGTTTCAGGCGCTACACCGTCTTGGACTCGTTATGGCTTGATTTTCTTCTTGTCTTTTGTTTTTACAGATATTGACGTTTCCTCTGGTCTTCAAAGATGAAGCCATTTTTGGATTGTCTCATGGACATTAGGAGTCCCGGGATCTGCGTTTTGTTCAAACCCTATATTGAATACTAATTTTTGTCTTGTTTTATCAGGCAGTGAGCTTTGTGCCTCCTTTGGGCTGTTGTTTCAATGTAGGTTCAGTTTTGAAGGTTTTGCCATAGTGTACTAGCCTTGAACCCTCAGCCAGCCTGGGATGTTCTAGCTCTTTGATGTTTTGTTTATGTTCAGCTTTGGGGTGAGCTCAGACCACGTGAACTATTTTATTTTTTATTCTTTTCATAAAATCCATTGAGACCACAGCCTCCCCTTCCTCCATCCCTTCCAGTCTGCCCCCATGATCTTATGGGGCGATTTTCTTGAGCCGTCTCTCTGCTCTGATCTGACAACTTCTAGAACTCAGAGGACCTCGACTTCCACTTTCATCTTGACCTTCTGGGATAAACCCAGTTTTTTCTCTTCTCTGTTGTCCTGAGGACCAAAACCACAGTGAGAGTGAGGTGGGTTAGAGTACGAGTGTCCAGGGTCTGGAGCAGGAGACGTGGACAAGGGCTTGGGGCATAGTCAATACTGTTGATGTAAAAAAAAAAAAAAAACACACACACACACAGCTCTCACCTCAAAGGCAGTAAGAGATAGTTTGTTCTGGAGCCAAATTTGAATGCCCATGGTCCAGGAAGCACAAAGTTTCATAGCTGCAGAACAAAGAAAGTCATAAATGGAGGTAATTTTTAGAATACTTTAGTGAACACATCAGAGAAGTAAATCTCTCCTTCAGGCTTCAGATGCTGTCTGATGATGTCCTTAGCTTTCCAGTTGGTGGAAGCTAGTGGTCTGCTAAGTTAACAAATCCCAAAAGGGATCTACTAATCACAGGATGCTAGGTGTGACATAGAAGTGGGCAAGGAAATGCCTGTTTAGAGGGCTAAAGCTAAGAGACAGGATAAGATATAATTAGGCTGTGGGCTTGTAACATCCCAACCTTCCCATGTCACCGCAGTTCCAATCAGTGTTTGTAGTCACGGTTTCTTTCCAGGAATTCTTCATAGGATTGGTTGCCATCTCACGGGAATCTACTCAGGAGACAGATCACCTCTGGGCATGTCTGTGAGGGAGTTTCTACATTGGTTGAGGTGGGAAGACCTGCCCAGGGTGCCACTGCCATGGATGGGGTCTTGCACTGAATAAAAGGAGGAAAGGAGCTGAGCACCAATGTTCTTCGCTCTACTTCCTGCCTGCTGATGCAATGTGACCAGCTGCCTTGTTCCTCCGTCCCGCTAGACTGTCTTCTCAAACCAGGAGCCAAAACAAATGAAAGGCTTCCTGCCTTAAGTTGCCTTTGTCAGGCATTTTTTGCAGCTCTGTGCATGCTCTCTAGTTCCATTCACCAGGCCAGGCATCGAAGGGTGCTTTTGGAGATGTCTTTGTATCCTGTGCCCAGCTCTGGGTTTCAGATGGCCTCTGTGTCCTGGTAGGGAGGTAGCAGAGGAAAGAAAATGGGAAAGTCAGGTGGGTGTGGTGGTTTGTAGCTAGAATCCCAGAACTTGGGAGGCTGAGGCAGGAGGATCACCCACGAACTCAGGGCCTACCTAGGCTACAGAGTGAGTTTTCCTGACTATGGAGTAAAACCATGCCTCAGAAAAAAACAAAAACCAACCGACCAACAAACAAAACATACCATAGAAAAGAGACAGGGAGACAGAGAGACAGATAGAGAAGGGAAGGAGGGCAGCAGCTCGGCAATACTGCCTTTCCTCCCCTGTCCCCCACTCTCTTGTGTTTGTTGGGTCCCAATCAAGGGTCTCAGCTCCACCCACTGGGCAAGAGAAGGCAGACTAACCTTGGCTTGAGAGAGTGAATTCTCTGCAAACACTCACTGGGGATTTCTCCTGCCTATTTACTACTCACTGTTTGTCCATGACCCTTGCCCTTCCTTAGGCTGTGGGCTTCAGGAGAGCAGCAGAGCTGGAGAGTGGGAGTATTCTTGTGGCCAGCCATCTTGAATGCTGCCTGGCAACATGGAGGGCCCCAACGGATGTGCTGAATGATGAGCTCTCTCATTTCTCCAGGCATAAAGATTTTAGAGACAAATTTTCCCTCCTCCCCATCCCCCCACCTTCCCACTCCTCTTCCACTTTCTCCTTCCTTCTCCTCGTCTTTCTCTTCTCAATATTCTGTAGGCTCCAGGTTGGTCTCTGAGAAAGGACAGAGTTCTGCATTAATCTTTGCTGGCAGCATTAGACACAGATGAACAGGGTAAGGTCCAAGCTGCCTTGTAAAGAGACCAAGGCAGAGTGTGCTACCAAAGTCCCGAGTGTGAGCTGCACCCCGTTAATAATTTCCATTTTATAATGCTGCCTGCACCTCCACACACCCTAATTCAGTGGCAGTCACCACTGAGTCAGATGCCATGAGACATCAGTGTCCAACCTGTGTGGCAGTTCGGGCCTGCCCTGGTCATTCACTTATCCCTTACCTCTTCCTCCCCAAGCTGATTCGATCTAGGAGCTGAGCTGGATTTCGACAGATAGTGCTATCAGACTTATGTGGGCTGGAAACAGTTTTAGAGTATGGATGTTGGAGTTGAGATGTCCCCAAGGTCAGGGAGTATTTTGGAAAGGGAGTGCCCTGATGGAATGTATATCGTACATATATCGCTGGCTTGCTGCCAGGGGGC